AGTTAAACATCTCATGGTTTAATCTAACTTGAGAGACCCAAAAGACAAACAAATTAAAGAGAAAAAAGAAAGAGATTTGTTAAGAAATGGGGATAGACTCTGGAGATGGGATCTGGGACAGGAGGAGAGGGGAGAGGGGTGGAAACCCACCCAGGTGCGAACACAACTGAGTGTAATCACTATGTGGAGCACAATCATACATAAGCTTTTTTAAGAAATTAAATACATGACCTTGGTTTGAGTACGGAGGCATCTACATTAAAGGTAAATTTTAATGACTTTGGATTCTCTCATGTAAGGCAATAATTACTCAGACTTTTCGGGGTGACAGGGCAGCACATGCGAGCTCTCACCCTCCCACCGGGGACTGCTCTGAAATCACAGGGCTTGTTCTGTGTGTTCCCTCAGGAGGTCGAGCTGTGTCGCGTCAGCAGTCAAGAGAAGCTGGGCCTCACCGTCTGCTACCGGACGGATGACGAGGATGACACGAGCATTTATGTCAGCCAGGTAAGAAACACTGTGGACGGAGACCCGGGAGGAGGAAGGAGCAGAGGACAGAAGGGAAGGATGCGAGGACAGAGCTCTTGCCCGGAGGCTGGGCGTGAAACATTGGCTACCTTCCAAAACGTGTCACCCTCGATTAGGAAGGAAAATGGTGCTGCCCAAGCAGTGGACTCACCATTAGCCTCTTGAGCGTGGGTCCTTTCGCCACGGAATGATGGCCAGGAAAGCAGCAGTGGGGACACTGTCTCCATCGGGGGGCCCTCCCCAGAGCACAGGATGCTGAGCAAAGTTGTGACCTGCCAACATTCGTCCTTCCATCCATTAGAGCCTTCCTTGCTCTGGTCAGGATGGCAAGGGGCTGACTCTTGTCGCAGTCACATCTTCTGTGCTCGTGATGGGACAGATACACCAGGATACTGAGGCAGTGCATCGTGAGTTTATTTGACACCACAATCATGTTCAAGAGGTGAGGACCTGGGTGTGAGCTGCCCTCAGCGTTCATTATTTTGAAAATGTGCCAAGCAACATTTTTATCACTGGTGATTTTTTAAAAACTCATGAAAGATGACTTTAGAATGAGAAAAGTATGATTTTTCAAAACTGTAGACATATGATTAAAAATTACACACAACGTACACACACGTGTTTATGTGGCATCAAACTCCTGCGAATAGTTAGACAAGCTGAACACTAATTCTCATTCCAAGTTTTCAGGGCCTTAATATTAAGCAGTCATTACCTAACAATTTAAGCTCAGCTTCCTCAATAAGAAAACTAGGACAATGTTTACATAATTATTTTTACAGAGTTGTTTAGAATATGGAAGAGATCGCATAGTTATTTTACTTAGAAAGCTACACTGGCCTACAAATGTGAAAAACTATTTTTTGTCACTTTTCCAAAGAATTTGCTGGATGCCTCTTACAAAGGCAAACTCCAAAGAAGGGATTTAGCTGCTGCTTTAGACGTGCAACTGTGATCATTCTTGTGATGAACACACTTGCGTGTGCTTGTGTAATTTTTAATTATATGTGTATAGAATTTTGAAAATCATTTTTCAACTTCTAAAATCATATTTCGGGAGGCTTTTTATATTATTATTATCTGATATATTTGGTAAAGGGTCTCATTACACAGCTCAGATTCATAATCCCCCTGTTTTGAGCCTCCTCAGTGCTGGGATTACAAGCATGCACCACCAAGCCCAGTCTCAGTGGCCGGCGCAGCATGTGGTACCAGGCATCAAACTCCAGTCCCTGTGCTTGCCTAAGCAGGTGCTTAGTCCACCGAGCCATCTCGCTGGCTCTCAGGACAGTTTTAAAAAATCACCTATGATAAAAATGTTGCTTGACAGGCTGTCAGAACACAATTCACAATGCCTCCCACTTGGCTCCTTGCTTCTTGAAAGAGAGGAGGTATAAGGAGAGGCCTACTGAATTCTCTTTTGCAATACATACACAAATAGAAAAGTAGAAGTTTAGTATCAGTTTGAATACAGCTTAAAAGACCAACTTGTAGGTTGTAACTAGCTTTTAAATGGGACACAAGCAATCAATCACTTGTCACTTCCTTGTGATAAGTCTCTACCATTTCAGTATCATATTTGAAGCTTCACTATTCAAGGAAGAGAAAGAGGCACAAGAACCAAGCATATGTACTTGGAATCAATATTGTTCTTATTTCTCTTATCTATAATTATGATGTCTTTTGTACTTGACTTACCACTTAAGGCTCAGTTATTAGGCGCCACCCCTAATGTGAAAGTGATACCTAACATCTGGGGAGGGTGGATCAACTCACGCCACACTTGAAATACTTTGCTTGGGAAAAAGCTTTCATGCAATAAGCCTAAATAAATGGTTCGGAGCCACCACATTTAGCCTGACAGATTGAATTACCTCCAGTTAACTGCAGTCATCACTTAAGTTGGGCCCATTAAAATGTTGATACGCTCTTTAAATATGTATTTATTCTAAAATAATTTATAGTTAATATACTTCGCCATGTATATAAATTGATGCTGAGTAATAAAATGTATATATAGGATTGTTGGTTTCTTGAATAACAGACTATAAGCTTCTTTATAAATTAATATATACACAAAACCAAAATTCCCCGAGTAAGTGTGGACTTGCGCTAAAGCTGTCAGCTGGTCTAATGTTGCTAAGGCAGGATTTAAAAATCACCTTACTAGTAGAAAGTAAATTCTCTGGGACCAGAGGATGCTAGTATTAACATTATACTATCTTAAGACCGTGTCTGACAACTGAGATTCAGGGATGGATAAATGAATGAGAAAAAAGGAAAAAATATAAATACATCCTTCCTAAGAATGCGAAGGATGAAAACGGTCCCCAAGTCAATTACTTTTCTGGTCCATCTTCATTTTCTTAACTCCAAAAGAGTGCATTTGATATATCTAGAATGAGTGATTCCTGGCCGAGAAAATGCATCCTGCACTCTTATCATAGATCAACAGACGATTTTGTTGTACTGTGGTTTAAAATGTATTTTTTACAACTGTATGTTTAATTTCTCATGAAGATCTTGTGTGTCTGGTTGACAGTGCATGTCCTCTCTATTACAGGTGGATCCAAATAGCATTGCTGCCAAAGACGGCCGAATCCGAGAAGGGGATCGGATTCTGCAAGTATGTGTGTGGCCATTTCCTTACCTCCTTATTGCCTGCCCCACAGTTAGGTTTGGCTTGGTTTCTTGTAAAATGTTAGAAAAAAGAATTTGTCTTTGTCTTATAGATATTAGCAACTGCCAAGCAGAAAGGCTGTCATTTCATGTTTAAGTAAGGGTGGTACCTTTCATTAACAGTTATCGGCTAAGAATTAGTGGCTCTGGAGTGAGATTTCTTGGCTTCAACCTCCAGCTCCACCACCACCTCACCTCCTTGCATGTCAAGCCCACCTGTTCATCTTAAGAGATAGCAATAATAACATAAGCTGTTCTTGTTGGGAAGATTGCATGAGGGTGTGTGTGTAATGTGCTTAGCACGGTGCCTGCTAAGTGCTTAATAAACATTAATGGTATTACTCGAAGCAGCAGCAGCAGCAGCAAATGCTGCCTTCCAGAAGAAATTAGATGACTGGATGCAAACGTTCCCTATGAACATCTGTAGAAGTTTCAACTATTTACTAATGAGTTATTTGGGTCAAGGAGAACAAAATGTAATTTCTTCTCCATGCAGAAAGATGAAGAGACACTGGTTAAATTTTAGTTTAATGGGAGAAGCAGTAAGCAGAGGAGATATGGAGTTGGAAAGGCAGTTCCAGGCCTGATCAAGAAAACTGACACCCAAAATTTCTGTTCAAAGCCTGCCTCAACACACCCAAGCCCTTTCAAGTGCTCCCATCAAGACTGCTGCAGGGAGATAGCGCTTCTTGAGATCAACCCTGAACTAAGAGCAGAGGCCCTCCCGGGTGGAGTACACGGCTGCTCGCCACCGTGACACAGAGACAGGGACCGGGATGGTATTCTGAGGAAACTCAGACTGTGGAAAAAATGTGGCAAAACTTCTAGGTCACATTGAGTTCTCATTTCTCAGTGCTATGGGGGGAATCTCAGAGAATTCTCTAAGGATGTCAAAACTAGACAGAGTGTCTCCCTGCCCCTGTTGTACCCTTTCTCTGTGACACTGGGAAAAGGGCAGCATGCACCGAGGATCACAGTGCTGTGTGACTGCCCTCCAAGGTGGCCCTGTGCTGCCAGGGCCACACACCTCCCTTGTCTTCTCACCCTTCTTTCTGCTGGGTGGCAGTCACTCAAGGCCACCACTGTCTCCCCCCGAGTTCTCTCCCTAGATAGATGCCACAGACTCCTTTGACATCAACAACCTCTCCTAAGACTGACTAGGAGAGAATAAATGAGTGACTGACCACGTGGGGTCCAAGTAGTTTTCATAAAAGCTCAAGTGTGCGTCATTTCTAATTCAATCAGCTCTGTGAACAGAGGCTTGTAGTTAAATAAAATTGCATCTGGGAATATTAGAGGACTCCCAAGTGGATCAGAAAACCAGGGCATTGTCTTGTTTTTCACAATTGGGTATCTTTCACACATTCACTTGAATAACTCAGTGAATAAAACAAAGTTAGTCCATGGAAAGGGTGATAGGACAGACACGAACTATGTAGCCCCCTCTAGAAATGAAGGATACCAGGTGGCAAAAGTTTCAAAAATGTTTTGGTTTTGAAATAATTTAAAATGTGTCACTCTCTCTAGTTCAGGATACTAAAATCAGTACAAGCTTCTGAGTGGGGGTATGCCGAGAAACGATTCCTGGGCTACAGTAGAGTGAAATGCTCCGTGACAAGCTCTGAGGGTTCTTTCACACATTCATAAGTGACCCTAGATGGCTACACTTCAGGGGGTGTGGACTCCACGTGTCATAATTTGTCTTGCTGTTGCTGCTGCCGCCACTACTGCCTCTGCCAGCTAATCTGGCATACCACCTCACCTGACTTCCCGTCTCCTTTCCAGCTAACCACTCTTACAGGCTGGACATGTAGACACAATTATCAGGGTCACCTCTATTGGTGTGGTGGGCACAGTTAACTAGACATAAAGCCCACATGCTTTCATGCGTGATACTGCATGCTTTGATACTTCCAAACTCTTGGCTACAGTGTGGATAGATAAGTATCTGAAGAAAGAAAAAGATGTAAGATAAAAACATATTCCTTAATGGAGGTGATTTGCTGAAGAAACAACAACAGGATTGATAAAGTGTTGTTTTATGCAGTGACAAATATGTCACACTTAATGAATAAATACATATCACGTAAAAAAGCCTAGAATTCAATTCTGTGTGCACACATAGAAAACAAATTGTTTTAAAGGTGACTGTGAAATTATATTAAACGAGCCTTTAACAAAATTGTGCCAATAGACAAATAGCTCACATATGGTTGGAGAGGATATTATGGGATACCAAGCAATGAGCAATTAATGACTCCTTTTCCTGGAAGAAAGGAAGGTGGGAGAAACAGGCTCTACCTCTCATCCTCCAGATTCCTTTTATTTCAATGTATCTGACTTTTATCTAAACGTATCTCTGCACAGCAGTTGTGAGCTTAGTTTTCCATTCATGAGGACCTCTGTAGCGTACAGTTATGCCCCTGCCCTTGTTGCGCAGCTGAGCTTTTCTTCATGCAGCCCTCGTTGGCTTGTTAGAGGACCACACCCAGGACATCACATGCATGCACACTCGTGGGACGATGACATGGGGTCCAAGTCGATTACACAGAACAGAAGCCAAAAGGAAACTAATGGCACGAGGGCATCGCTGCTGCTTGTGTGTTTGTTCTTTGCCAGTGCAGGGCACTTCTGCCCTGTGCCACTGCCTGCAGCTTCGATTGGCTTTGTCCCAAAGAACTAATCTAGGGACACCTCTCACACAAAAGCACAGGCATGAAGAAGACACTTCTGAGACCCAGAGCAAGAGTCAAATGCCACATAAACATCAACCTCCCCAAACAGAGAACGCTAGATTCCCCTGTGTGCTTTGGGATGGTCAGCATGTAATACTGCAAACAAGAAGCTTAAGCTCATGCTGAGCAAAGAGTATTAGTCACATTCCTAAGGAGTACTTCTTGACAAAACGCTGCCAGAACTGAAGCAATAGAGTAACAGAACTTATAAACTCTCACTCTTTCTCTTCCCTACCTATAAACTGCTCCGTAGCATTCCTATCTTTTCAAATGTTTTCATTTTCAATAGCTATTTTCTGTACAGTTTGTTTTTTTGCATCTGTATCATTATATTCCGCATACCGTATTTCTCTCCATATTGACATATAAAAATGCAAGGTCTGAGTTCAATTCCTGGTACCAAAGCAAAACAAGAGTATTTTTCCCCATCATTACTACTCATTTAGGATCACTACCTCTATTTTGAAGTTTGGTAAATTTTATTTGTGAATTGCAAAAATCCAGAATGCATATGAAGCCTCTAGCAGTTGGTTTTCTTGTAAAAAGGGCCTGGGAATAAGGACCTTTATTGGGTACCAAAATTGAGTTATCCAGCCCCAGAGTCTGCTGGCAGCTTAGTGGTCTACTTGATACCTTTCTCCCCAGAAACCTGTGGCAAAAGATGTTAGCTTAATTACTGAAAAAAATATGGTCAGTGTGGTCATGTATTCCGTCTTACAGTGAAATAATTAATACTTGTTTTAGGCAGAACTTTCTCTGGCTGAACTTTCTTTCCATAGGGTTTGCTTATATGTTGGAGATCAAAACACATATTATCTCTATGAATTTGAGCAAACAAGATTTTAATTTTTGAATATCCAAATGAAAAATGTTGTGTTAACTAAGAACTAATGCACCTTTGAACATGAAAATGTAGTGCAAAACACAAACTTCAGCAACTGTATTTCCTCTCTCTCTAGAACTCAGAAAAAGTAAAATATATATTTCCAATCCCACTGGAGTCTTATGTAGTCTGATTAGTATGTGCCTGCAATCCACGGTGATTAAATTCTTGTAGGGAGTTGGCACAGGAGCACAACACGTTCAAATTCTATTTTCCCCTTTCCTCAAGCCCCTGCTTATATTCCCACATAAAATTAGTTGTCACATGTATAGACTGAAACTCCAACCCATAAGCCAAAGAACATAGATCTTCTGTGCAGTATAAAGTTTAGCAAATGGTAGCTTCTTCTACTTTTTGCAAAACAATCGTTTTACTTTATGTTAATGGTTTCAAACTTCTAAATAGACTTGGAGCATTGCACCAATTTCATTGTTTTAAGAAGTGGATGAATCTTATTGACGATGTTCCTGACAGCCATTCCTCCTTTTGATCAGTTCAACGTGGAGTACCCTCTGGGCAACTGAGTCAGACTCACAAATACAAAGTGATTGAATAAAAACGCAATCAGCGGTGGGCTGGGAGCACTGCCTGGTGAGAGATAGCACTGCCACTGTCTAATTGGCCCGCAGCATGCAGGCAGGATGACGGATTTCAGTTGCGGTGTTGCCGGGCCTCCTCCTTCCCGCACTATTATCTCAGAGTGACACTTCCATTACTCTGAGCGGAGAAAGATGAACGTCAGCTGTCAGCGGCTGGTTAATTGTGTTGCTAGATGTATGTTACCAGGGCGCAGGGTGGACATTTATGAACATAACTGCTTCCTCTGATGTCCGCCATCCTTTAGGGATCGATATGGCTCTTACAGTAAGCGTCTAATTGAGTGCGGGCACTTTCCGCCGAGGGGCCGAGGATGGGCTCATTGTGTGAGCTTCATTGTCCATACATTTGCCATAAATGAGCTGGTGTTTGCCATTTATTGTGTGCAGCATTGTGGAAATGGAAACTAATGTGCCACTTGCATTTGTTTTCTAGATAAATGGGGAAGACGTCCAGAACCGAGAAGAGGCCGTGGCGTTGCTGGCGAGCGATGAGTGTAAGAGAATCGTGCTGCTTGTTGCAAGGCCAGAGATTCAGGTCAGAGCAGAGCTCAAAGCTCCTGAGGCTCCGCTCCCTGTTCATTCAATTTGTGAATGAATTTATTTCCCTTCTCTGCTATTCTGTATCAAATCACTCTTGGGGATATGTGCAAAGCCAAGTGCTGTATGCAAAGTACAACAGACATCGTTCCTAAATTGCCAGGCTTAGCATCAGAAGTACTGTGTGGACATTAAACGGCTCCCTTATCATGCCCCAAAGAATGGTGGCTAAATAGTCCATCGAGGAAAATTTTTATGGCATGCAAAATCGAATCATTATTCTCTCCTTCCACTTACCAGTTATTTAAATGACTTCACAAATGAAGAAGGGTTTATTTAATGTGTTTCATAATTCTGTGTGGATCCCTGCTCTATGTTTCTATCAAAAAATGCTGAGCTAGGGCCAGAGAGATAGCTCAGTGGCACAGCACCTGCCTGGCAGGTGCAAGGTCCTCAGTTCAAATCCTGATACCAATAAACAAATACACGCATACTTACTTGGCTGAGGAAGGTACTTCAAAAGAATCTGTCCTAAGAAAAAACAGTTATCATCTTAAATCTTTTTAGAATAACTTTACCAAATAAATATTCTTAGCATTATATGGCTCCCAATAGAGAAAATGAAATTTTTCCAAATTGAGCATAACAAACATACACCCAACCAAAATACTGATGCTTATAAAAAATTCCTTTAGATCTTCACAGGGGAAGATGTCATGAAAGTAAAGGAGAGGTAATGGCGGAAGAAAAGTCCTACTGGTATTTCCTTTTATATCCTTTTTCTACCCCACCGCAATGGGGGAAGGACAAAACATTGTCACCATTCTATCTGCTGTCAGTACTGTGAGTGAAGTTAGTTACCCTGCCATTTGTCTCCTAGGTTATTGATCTGATACTTTTCAGACTCAGTAACTGCATGCTGTCTATAAATTACATTGAATAAGTGTATTTCAGTGTCAGACTGAATCCTGACTTGAATATAGTGGTTATAAAAGATCACCCTTTTCGCATATATTTCCTTTATGCCCTTGACCATTCTAAATTGCTCTCATAAAGCCTGCCACATCCTGAAGCAGAACAAAGTGACACACCTGAGGTCTTAGGAATAGGAAAACGAGCCCGCACATTGTGCAGCATTGCCCAGGTGGAAATGAAGTTTTAAGATGTATCTGAATGTATACCAGTTACCAGAAACTTTCTCAGACCAATGTCTCTGCTGATCAAACTTTCTCAAAGAACAGAATAAAGGGAATAGATACAGTAAGCGAAATTCATAGTGATTTGAAACAACTCAGTAGCATCCATGTTATAAAGAAAAGCATCATTATATTATAAAGTGGTTCCCTGCCTTTTCTGTATAACTGCTAGAGAAACTCATTAATTTAGAACTAAGGGATTTCCTTAAAATCTTCCATATCATCACTGTAATGGCTGAGGAAAGAATAGAAATGAATGACACAAGACCAGATCCCGTTAATCTTTGATAGAATACATATGCCTAGCAGAACCAACAGCATTTTTTAATTTGTGGCTCTACTTTGCTCTTGTTCCCCCAAAGAAAAGAGTCTGTGTTGGAGGGTGCAATTCCAAATGAGACTCACTTTCCACACATGCTGAAAGGTGGCCGTCTGCTTCCACAGGCTGCCATCCTGCCTGTCAAAACCAGGGTCTGCATCAGCCCCTTGTTCCTGAGCCAGCCTTCATGCCACTGGAAGGAAGCTAATTGCCCACTGAAACTCAGATTCACAGAGAAATCAGCAAAGACAAGAGACTTGACACCATACTTTAAAAATGTAATATGAGCACTACAGGCTAGAAAGCTGTCCTCCAAAAAACATTTTTTTTAAATATTGGATTTACATCACTCATCTTTTTCCATCCAATTCAGTCTAGCTCCCTGGATTTTTTTTCTATGTATAGTTTATTCAGGGAGAATGTAGACACTTTTTGAGTCCTTTTCCTAGTGTGTTTTTAATATTTCTCAAATCCTCTCTAGATTCTTGGAAATGATCTACAGAGTTGCTGGCGGCACTGACTGCGCATCTGCACAATGTTTTTAAATAACTCATTTCCTTCATTCCCTGCCACCTTTCTTTCATTTCCTGCCCATTTGCTTCTTCAGACCATTAAAGATATTGCTTTTCTGTCCTAGTCCCCCCAGGCCACTGGGGCACAGAGTGCTCTTGCCGGTTCTTGTAAAGCACTACTTTGGAGATAGTGCACACTGCTCCTTCTTGGCAGTGCCCCGCACTGTCCACTTTGGTGGAGACAGATCCCCACGGTATTGTGACAACAGTTCTTTTCCTGCAGCTTGTCTCAAAAGGGACTGCTGCCTCCACCACAGGACTCAGAATGGGCTCCTAGCTGGAGGGAAGATAGAAGACTCTCCCTTATTTATTGTGCTGAGTAAACCCCAGCCAATAGGGAAAGTCACCAAGACACTCATGTACGGACTCGAGGGCAGCTTGGGGATGTGTGAGCTTTGTCAATCAAAGAAGAGTTACAGGGATCATTAATTGCTGATGACTCTTTTTCTCACCACTTCACTTAACTTCCAAAGCTTCTGTCTCATCATTTACTTTATCAGTATTAGGAAACATTTTGTTCTGACTTGATTAAAGAAAGAATCCTGGATATGTTTATAGAAAGCAAATATTCTTCGCTTTTAAGAACTTCCTCTTAGAGTCTGGTATCTGCACCTGTGGAACACTTAAAAGGAATTAAACACTAAAGTTCGAGTAGTTATACATGGGATTGAATTTCGATTTTTAGCCAGGATAATTATCATAGCTCTTCTGCATATTAAAGTCAGGAGGATGGAATCTGGTCAAGTTATCTGGGCTGTACTAAGACAAATGAAGATGAATAAGTGTGTCCATACTCCTTGCCCCAGTTAGACCTGAGGTAATTTTAAATCCTACATGGCCTTAATAGATATCATGAGATCTATGATTTGCCTTCATATTAATGAATATGATATGCGTATGCTCATGGCTCTTTGAGTGTAGTCTAATAGCCTTCCCTCATGTTTAGTTTTTGCTCTAAACTTTGAGAAATTCAGTTATCTTTCATAGCTTATTGTCCAGTTTTTTTCATGAAAACACCTATCTGTCTTTTCTCAGTAGTTGAACGCAGTTGTTTCTTTGTATCTGCACCTGTGGAACACTTAAAAGGAATTAAACACAGACTAATACAGACTTTTGACAATAATCCAGTGTATTTAAGAAGCCTAGACAGTTAATGTATGTAATCCAGCTCCAAAAATCCACTCTGCAGCATATTATCTAGATTGACTGTCAACACCAACCACATTAGCGAAGCGATCCCAAGGTATGCACTTCACTTTGTAGGGAACAGCCAAAGGGGTCTCCTCTGTTTAATTTGTGTAGGCGTCCCACAAGAATGCTTGCGTCCAGCACCCACAATCCAAGCCCTGCCTCCTCTGCTTCCCCACCACCACCCTTAAATGCCACAGTGACTAAGGTCTTTTTCCTTGTAAATGAAAAATAAATCAAAAAAGATATGATGGAACCTGGGAAGTGTGCTCAGTGATAGACTACCATATGCTTAGTATGCCTATGGCCCTGGGCTCAATCCCCAGCACAATAAAAAAGGAAATAGACAGACATATGATGTCACACTTCTCCCCCCACCCCGCTTGAGAAGACGAAGTTATACACTTGCTTTTTTCCATACACACACAAATATAGTCTGTTGATTCTTTCCTGGTACAGAGCCATTTTGGTAACCTGTATGCCTACCTGCCTAAAAATTTAAAAACACAGAATGAGGGTAATGTGAGCTTATGGAGGACACTGTGTGTCATCTCATTAGGAACCGCTGTTAGAGAGAAGCCCAGTGGTCTCAGAGCCCTATTAGCAGCTCTGAAGTTCTTTTAACACAGAGACCATTGGAGGTAATGAGCATGGCAGCTGTGGATTATGCAGTGTGCTTTTCATACATTTTGAAAGAAGGTAATGTTCTATGCTGTGAGATTTACTCTGCTATGAGAGAATCTCTAGCTCGGTTTCAGGGAAGGATAAAAGACCTAAGAGTCCTTTTTTTTTTTTTTTTTTTTCTCATCCCTTTTCCTTCTACGACATGAACCGTAGAAAGCTGATATCGTGAGGACAATCCGTATGATGAAAGGAACTGGACAGCATGGCCATTTAAATGTACCCTATTTTAGCATGAGTCCTTGCTAAAATGATATAATGTACTAATGTATTCTTTTGCAGCTGGATGAAGGCTGGCTGGAAGATGAAAGGAATGAATTCTTAGAGGAGTTAAACTTGGAGATGTTGGAAGAACAGCACAATGAAGCAATGCGGCACACTGCCAACGAGGTGGAGCAGGTAGGGTCAACAATTTGAACCACATCATGTGAAATGCCACTTGTTCTTCTTTTTTCATGCAAAACCATAAATAGAGAAAAAACACACTCAAAGGTTTGATCAAACATCTCTAGAATGATAATCTTTTAGAGCAAATGATTGTCTTAGTTGCTTTTCTCTCATTGCTGGGACAAATACCCGACACCCAAAATGAAGGAAGGAAAAGTCTATTTGGCTCACAGTTACTGGAAGTTTCAGTCCACACTCAGCAGGCTCCAAGGCAGAGCAGCACATGGCAGAGGGCAACCTCTCATGGCAGCAGCGAAGAGCAAGAACAAAAGGGAGGGGTAGCAGCAGCTCGGGCAGCTAGCTTCTCTCCCCTCCCTACATTGAAATACAAATCACCTGCCCCAGGGTGAGTGCAGCATCCTCACCCCCAATAATCAATCACAAACTCCAGAAGCCTCCCCAAGACTGCATGAGGCTTTACGGGGACAACTAGACACAAACCACAACAATGATCATCTCAAATGAAGCAGAGGAAATACAATTTTTCTGTTAAGAAATATTTCCAGTTTAGGATACTTGGGGAGCCTGTAGATAGCATGGTAGTATTCAAAGGTTGGACCAGGTAGTGTTTTAACCCGATTGAAAAAGAAAAAGGTTTTAATTGTAAATATTTTAGGTACATTTAACTTTAATTTTAATTAAATTTAACTTTAAAAGATAACTGTACCTATGTGAACATTTAGGCTGTACCTACAGAATAATGATGTCATGAGGGAAGCAATCAGTCTTGGGTATTGGTGGTATCATATCCCTGAAGTATGCCAAGTAAGCATGCCAAGCAAGTTTCGCCTAAAGGCTGTTGAGGCCTTCGCTGTGTGGCATCTCCCATGTCGTAAATAAGATCATTGACATTTTCTCTGAAGTCATCTATTCCTTCAAAACAACATTTTGAGATCCTAAGCTTTTCCGAGAATCACCCTTGACACTGCCAATACTAAGTGGGTCAAGTTCCTGTCCTCAGTTTGCATCCTAATTAGTAAAAGACCACAGTGTAGCCTTAGTAACTTAATCTTGGAACTGTTTGCATTTTTTGCTGTTGTTTTCTCACTGCATAAAAACAAGACCAGTGTAACAATTTTTTTCATGTCTAATTCACGTCTTTCATCTGCTTAATGTAATTCTGTTAACATTTCATTGTCAGTTTACTGATTTGTGCAATTATCATCTAATTCTCAACATTAATTCTTACTACATCTTAAGAGATGCTTTTTTTAAAGTCCTGACAGGTTTAACCACATTAATAATTAACATCCTATCACTTATACAAGCAGAATAATGAAACATGTTTGCACGCTAATGTCGCCTATCAAAGATGTGTGCACGGACACCATATATAAAATAAACATTAGACCCTACAGGTCAGCATCAGCACAGCCTGTGTGATGTATTCATGCTCTGATCATGGACATTCATTGTCCACTGCCTGAACAGTAACTCATGCTCCAAAGAGTCCTTGCTTCCGTGGTGACTGCTTTTCAATATAAGTAGGACAGGCTGGAATTTTTATGTGTGACTTCACCTCTGTGCTCAAATAAAGATATTTTTTAGTGGCAGCTGCTGGTTATAAGCAAGAAAGTCCTTGCTCCAGGCTTTTCTCTCTTCGATACAAAATGTGACCTGGTATAGAATTGACAGGAGGATGTCGGAGTAAGAAAGAAGGGGGAAATCCTGTCCAGGTGAACTGATAAGGTGTCGCATGCTGCCTACCCATCAGACGTAATACAAATGCTGGGTCTTCGAGGTAACAGTGGATGTCCCTGGGGATAGATTCTCACTGTGCGGAAATTTTTCTTCACCATAAGACTGAAAAATGATGAGACATAGAGAATCCTTTAAAAGTCTTTTGCCCTTATAAACAATCATGTACATTAGAAATGTTTTGGTAGAAGCATTACTGTCACTATAAAAATTCCCAGGGAATGATAAATGGTAAAGCAGCACTAGCTCAGGAAACAGGAATCCTGAGTTTGGGAAAGGAAAACATTTTCATTTGTACAGCTGATCATAGCAGTAGGGCAAAAAAGGAAAATTTAGTTTAGAATTTAAATATATCTCCCCACACTGGAACACCTTCCAGAGGATGCTTGGTGGCGTGGCTGCCATGGAGCATCCTAGGCATCTTCCCTAGCATAATTTGTCAGTAGTATTTTAAAATATATGTAAAGTAGGAAAAATATGCTGGCCTTCCTGTAGTTTTTTGTTTCTTTACAAGATATAAGAAAAATATAACTGTAAATCGCATGTGATAGAAGCCGGAATGGCCCGTGGTCCCAGCCTCACCACATCTGAGGCTTTTGTCAGCTTAGAGGCAGAGACATGTGTGACAGGCCTTGCTTTGTTAGTTAAAATTACTTATAATGTTGCTATCAGCAAGTCATTTAAAACCAATCAGTGTGTTTTGAACATATGAAGGAAAGCATTCTAGGCAAAGACTGGGGCTCCGAGAATGACACGACACCTGGTCACAGTTGCTCCTCTCCAAATTATGTCACATTTTGTCCTGTTATTATGTGGGAAAAATAGCAATTATCTAGAGAGAGCCTTTTAGACTTGTTTTAGAATACCTTTTATTACCCATCCCATCCTTCTTTAGCACTAATAGGTTTAATTATATTTAATTATATAGTTACACCTGCTAGAGAAAAGAAATATAAATATATGGAGCGCTTAGGCATAAGGCAAATGCAACCTAAAATCTGTCATGGAGATTATTGCATGATGTGTGACACAGGAGAAAATAATTTTACCTATTTACAGAAACATAAATGGATTGCATTAGGGTTGTGACAAATTGTTCTGTAAGAATGACAAAATTAGTATATATGTATATTTATATAAAGGTTCTTCAAAAAATGTACACATCAGGAAAAGAAAAACTTGTATAAATATTTTAATACTAAATTTATTGAGACATCATGGGGATTACCACAAGTTACCTTTGGCAAGAGGTGCTCAAAGTGATGGCCACCAATTTCTAGGCATTTATTGGTGCAGCAAAGTGTTGCTTGGGTAACCTTGGTCGTTGAGACTGCTGCACATGCATTTTCAATTTCTTCTCTAAGGGCAGCAGTGTAGTGGATTTTCTGTGATACGCGACATCCTCTAGGGTCTCCCATAAGAGAGTGACACCATCAGTTGAAAAGACCCCATACTATTTTTTCTCGTCCTGAAGCATGCATGCATTTTTGGCAGGCTCTAGATAAACTATACATGTATATAAACACTACATTTGCATATATGTATGTATCATGGGTCTATACATGTTAAAAATGTACTCGTCCCACATCCATCAGTGTCTCTGAGAGTTCCACTGGAACTGTCATTGTGTGTGTGGGGGGGGGCCACATGCACATGCATGTGAGCAAGAGCTTATTGCCTGAGGCAGAGAGAAGCCAGTTCTGTGGCACTAGGTCACTGCAAAAAGAAAAGGCTTTATGCACTGTCAGCTGGCGAGGAGACTTAGAGGTAAAGAGGAGCTTGAATCCGCCTCTCCCACTTGGCAAGGCAATGGGAGACTACAGAGGGGAGAGGTTGCTCTGTGATTGGATGGCATGTCATGTCCACTGTTTCTTTGGGGAGTTATGCAGTGGATATGTGATTTTGTGGCAGTGTTGACCAGATGAACTGGTTTCTTTTGCTTCTGTGTTTTCTTGAAGAATTTGTTTGAAATGTTAAGAATTATTTGTGAAAGGCCTAAAGGTTTTCCTGGAAAGCAAGTTAAGAACTTTTTATTTAAGTAATTTAATCCAGATCGGGCCTTAGGCCACTGCAGCCCCTCCCTTGTCTTTGTTCATTCCTCAGTCCTGAAGCGTGAGGACAATTGCTCTGACTCCTTCCAACTGAACAAGCTTACCGTTAGATCCAAGCTTTGGGCTGAACAATGAGTCCATCGAGTAGGAGAAGGCTCATGAATAGAGGGCTTACCAGTGTGTCTAGGGAATCAAAATAGATGAAGGATGGCTTTTAAAAGTAGCCAGATGTTCAACCCTGAAAAAAGAATCATCAGAAACTCTTGGGCAGAGGACAGAAATGAATAGAGCCAAGCATGATGCCACCTGACAGTTCTGAAAATGAGAAGGAAAGCCACTCAAAGCATCAGGGAATAGGATCCCCATGAGTGGCTTATGCTAGCTTTAACATTGTGGACACATCTGATTCTACCTGTTGAGAAGGGTCAGGACATATGCAACAGCTAGTATTTACTTTAGCATAGACTGCCCCTTGTGAGGTCATAGGACATGTGAGGCAATTCTACTTTCTGTGAAAGCCAGGATAGAGATTCTGCTCAGGCTCTGCAGGTCTGTTTGTTTGGGGGACTAGCATTACCCCACAGGCTCATTTTTAACACTTGTCAGGCTCTTCTACACACAAGAAATCTGTGTACAGAAGTGAAATCCTACCTTTTTATTTAAGGTAAGATTAATTAATGACTCTCAAGAGCATGTAGAATGAGAGCTCTTTCTGGGTTCTGGGACCGCCCCAAGTGGGTGATCATATTAGCCAGGTTTCTGGTTTTCTTAAAGTGCTAAAAGTGGCATAGGTGTCACATATTTACTCCTTTCCCTTGCTAGCAGGTAACTGAGATCAAAGAATATTTGAGGTAAAAAAATGAAGAGGCTTATTCCATCAGGTACTCTGAACAATCATCTTTGGCCCCAGTAATTAGGTAACAAAAGTGTCATTGGTCCAAGGTAGAACTGACAGGTGCTGGACAAAAGGACTTTCTGCAAGAAATTTTGGTGGCCCCTGTGAAAATTCTTCGTCCATTACTCTTTGGTGGTTTTTATAACCAGGCAATCATGCATAAGAACTCTTTTTTCTATTTTTCTAGGGAAAGGTCTACAGGGTGTTCGGGGTCTCACTACTAGATCAGACTCATAGTGATCCGCCTGTTTACAGCCTCCCAAGTGCTGGGATTACAGGTGTCTGATGATTGGGCGTTAATGTTATAACCTTTTTAGCCATGTTTGGGCAACAAAGAAGTTGAGAAACAGTTCTCAGGTGGGCCTTCCCTGTAATCCAGGGCAAAGTTGAGGGAGGCCACAGTATGACAGTGAAGAAACCCATCAGGCAGCTGAGCTTTCCAAACACACATCATGTCCATGTGGCCACTGGAGGTCAGGATCCAGGGCCACTCCATACCCAGGTGCCACAGAGCCTGACTGGCAGTTGAAAGACCACAAGCCATCTTGGTTCCCAGAAATCATTACGGAGCAAGTGTTTAGTCACTAACATATGTAGAATCCAATAGCATGGCACCAGGCTACTACATGGTCAACTAGCCAAGACTACAGCCTCAAATCCAACTCAAATCTGCCTCCCCAGTCAGAGGCAAGCAGGGAATGTGCAGGAGGGGAAAGGGGCCCAGTTGCTTTTAGATCAGATGGACTCATCCTTACAGGTCATAGGTTGCTTTGGGGTTGGGTAAGAGTGTGTTCCCACAGGGGATTTTCAGTCTGTGATATCGTTAACTAAGTGATCTGACCTTGTCCACTCATTCTTCAAAAGCTGGTCCCAAACCACAGCAGTCATTAATAAAAGGCCGGGAGGCTCTTCCTGGAAGACAATTTAAGAACTTTTCGTTGCTAGGTGTGTCCTGGCCTTAGCTCATTTCACTTGCAGTAGGCTAGAACTCACCTTTGAAGGAAGGTACTAGTTGAAAGTAAAAATGAATCTTTTTATGTAATTCAAATTCTAAGATGTTGCTGTTTTTGAGAAACACAATTTCAAGACGCACCGAAGTCAAAACATGTGAGAAATTCTGGTGTTGAAGGCCCAGCTTTGCTTGATCCTAACATGAATGTGTTTAGGATTAATACCCCCCATCTATAGGTAGAAATATTCTGGGTTCCCATATCTAATATTACCCTCACTTTGCAATTTTGTGATGTTAGGCTTGCTATTATCAGAATATTACTGAGTCAATAAGGTTACCTTGGAAAGTTCCCAAAGAAACTTCAGGAAAATCAAACAAATAATTAGGTAACAGTGGCTTCTGAAATCCAAGCCTGTATATTGCTGAAGATTGCTAAAATATTCTGTCTTACTCATCCCTTCTCAAAAATACATAAAGTCATTTCATTTAGACACCTGAAAGCCCAAATAAGAATAAATAGAAATAGAGAAAAATTAATTTATATGTATCTTGTCTTGCTTGTACCCAAGTGAATATTATGGCCATATCCAAATACCTTTCATTTTCTCTATTTCACTGCATAAAAGAGCTTTCATGAGCTCACTCTCACTATTCCTAAATTTGCTGTCTGCTAACATTGGAGAAGCTTTCTAGGAACGGCATCTTTGTCTAGAGGCATTGTTTTTCAAGCAAGCTTTTTCAGCCGCAGTGTTTTTCAAAGCAGTTCACTGACTTTGTTCTCTCTAATTGATTTTCTCAGCCAAAAAAGCAAGAGGAGGAAGAAGGCACAACAGACACAGCGACATCCTCCTCCAACAACCACGAGAAGGACAGCGGGGTGGGGCGCACGGACGAAAGCGTGCGCAACGAGGAGAGCTCGGAACAGGAGCATGCGACCGAAGACCTTGGCGGCGCATCTCTGACTAGCAGGAGAGAGCTGGGGCAGAGCCAGGGCACCCTGGGCAGCGTGGAGCTTCCAGGCAACGAGAGCTTTGTGTCTGGCGAGTATGTGGACTCGGACTGTGTTGGCAACCACCACGAGGAGTGCAAACGCTTCCGGCAGCTCTTAGAGCTCAAATGCAAGATCCACAACCACAGCGGGTACGACCTGTACTACTCCAGCAGCACCGTCGAGTGCAACCAGGCAGAACAGGAAGGCGTGGAGCACGAGCTCCAGCTGCTGAATGAGGAGCTGAGAAACATTGAGCTGGAGTGCCAGAACATCATGCAGGCTCACAGGCTCCAGAGAGTGACAGACCAGTACGGGGACATCTGGTCTCTGCACGATGGAGGATTCCGGAATTATAACACCAGCCTAGACATGCAAAGAGGAAAACTAGATGACATTCTGGAGCACCCAGAAAAGTCAGACAAGGACAGCTCCAGTGCTTACAACACCGCGGAAAGCTGCCGAAGTACCCCACTCACAGTGGACCGCTCCCCTGACAGCTCTCTACCCAGAATGATCAATCTAGCTAATAAGAAAAACCTGCGCAGCACGCCGGCTGCCCACCAGTCCTCCTCAGGACAGAGCAGCAAGGGGTCGACCTCCCCCAGAGCCAAGGACACCGAGCAGGGGTGCAGCGTGGAAAGCCAGGCCAAGCTTATGGAAAGCAGCAAGCTTCCCGAGCCTGAGAAGACAGCTTGCGAGCCCATCCCTTATCTCTCGCCCTACCACAGCTCCCCCTACAGGTGTGCCAACATCCCGGCGCACGCCAGGCACTACCAGAGCTACATGCAGCTGATCCAGCAGAGGTCGGCCGTGGAGTACGCCCAGAGCCAGCTCAGCTTGGTGAGTATGTGCAAGGACGCCCCGAAGGGCTCGGAGCCCAAGATGGAGTGGAAGGTGAAGATCAGGAGCGACGGCACCCGCTACATCACCAAGAGACCAGTGCGGGACCGGATTCTGAAGGAGCGCGCCCTCAAGATCCGGGAGGAGCGCAGCGGCATGACCACGGACGACGACACCATGAGCGAGCTGAAGATGGGGCGCTACTGGAGCAAGGAGGAGCGCAAGCAGCACGTGGTGCGCGCCAAGGAGCAGCGCCGCCGCCGCGAGTTCATGCTGCGCAGCCGGCTGGAGGGCCCCCGCGAGGCGCCGCAGAGCCCGGGTGGGGGCGAGGCCCGCAGGGAGCTCAGCATCCTCGAGCTGAGCCACAAGAAGATGATGAAGAGGAGAAACAAGAAGATCCTTGACAACTGGATGACAATCCAAGAACTGATGACCCACGGGGCCAAGTCTCCAGACGGCACCAGGGCGCACAGTGCCTTCCTGTCCGTCACCACGGTATGACCCGCTGGGCCGGCGGCTGACCTGAGGAGGGTGCTCCCGCTTTGGGTAGCGTATGCTTGCCTCGTTCAATGTGGCGTTTTTATACGCATTGGGTGACTCTTTATAGTTTCGATTTTTTGTAAGCAAAAATGATAATAATAACCTGGTAATTTTTAATTTGGTTTTTCATATACTGGCACCTTCGTTTTGGGCTGAGGTCTTTCCTTAACTTGTGATATATTCGTATTACTCATTTATAAAAAAAAAAAACAATAAAACAAAAAAGGAAGGAAACAAAGATACTGAGGAACTAATTAATTTCCTATTTTAATGTATCTATTGTAAGTTAAAATCTGGATTTATTTCTCTAGTTCACTTATTTTCTACTTTAATAACAACTCAGAGCCAAAACATTTCTGTGTTGCCTCTTGGCATAATACATATTCAGTCAACCCTGTTAATAAATCACAGGACACATCTTGTCTTATACACACAAAAGAAGCTTTTTAACATTCTTTTGTATGATTAACACATATATGGCCGTTGTCTTTGTCCCTGTAAAGTGTGTATAGGTGCACAAGCTGCCTGTGATACGTAGTGACATTGGTCATGTAGCTAGACAATTGTGGTAATTGTGACAAGAAAAGAGAAATAAATTATTGATTAAGAAGAGTTATGAAGGAGTGTTTTATTTTCATTGTCCACTGTGGTTAACAGATATAAATTAGTTATATACGTACACTACTTAGCAGAGGCCTAATTGTAGCTTACAGACTGCACATTCTCTGTCACTTTTTGTAAATGAAGGACTTCCTGTGGATCACTGTGTCACATAGTGCTTCCAGGGTCACATTACATAATACACATATACTGTCACATAGATGCTAACATTCAATGTGCTGCCGGTGCCTACCACCTGTGTAAGGTAAAACTAAGAAAAAGATGGAGAAAATGGATCACGAGGCATCTGAGGTTGGTTACAAGAATACATTGTGTTTTTTGCTTGGTCTGTCATAACTGAAGGCCAAGGCATAACCAACAGAAATTTGGTTCTCACAGTTCTAGCGTCTGGAAAACTCAAGATCAAATACACTATAGGTTAGAATTTCAACATACAAATTTAGAAGGGGCACAATTCAGTCCACTGTGCTGACTACCTTTCTTAAGTTGATAATTCAGGAACAAAATTTGGAGAACCAGCTTTGCAAGAATGTGCGGCACAGTGAACTAAAAGTACCCCATGTATTAAACCCAGTTCTGTCGGCCAGAATGCCTGCAGAGGGAAAGGCCGTGCAGACGTGTGTTGCATGGAGTTTTCATTCAGCCCCACAGGCTGTCCGGACATAATGGTTACCCAGCGTCTGACTGTTTCCATACATGCTTTCCCACATAAAATCCTCAGTGATTCCCTATAATGCTCTTCAATCTGACTCTGGTGCCTTGGCATAAAGGGCAAGACCATTGCCAAACCTTCCCGCCTTATCTGCTGCTCCCCCTCAGAGCTTCTCGGAGCTACTCTCAGCTCTGTAACATCTGCCCATTTCCTTAAAGTTATCAGAAGTTATTCTCCTTGTGGAGTTTCTGTAGCAAGTCCTATGCCTTGCTTAGTGTGGGACCACACATACATTTTCTACTGGGGCATGTATTGATGACATCAGACTTTCTCAGTTCTTTGGAACACACTACCATTCATATTGTTTTGCCTACAGAATTGTGTTCTTTTGTTACTGAATCACATAAATAGAATTTATGGTCTCTCTGCATAGATTTTAAATTTGTGGAAAGAGGCCCTTATATCCCTCTTTGTAACCACTAGGTAAAATGTCATTTGAATAATCATGGAAAGAGCTGGGCTGCATTATATTACTCATATTCTTCTTCCTCATAGGGGTCCATCTGTCACCGTTTTCCTTACTCTTCTACCTAGCTTCCCAATTTTTTACTTTCTGAAGAGCAATCACACAGAGGAAAACAAACTAATCCTATTTATACATAATGAAAATGGGACTCAAGTTTTAAAATAGTGGTAGTAAAAACAAATCCAGACCACCAAAAATGTACTCATTTCTAACTTTAGTCCCTGTTAGTTCAGTGAGTTGGACTACTCTGAGCACACCCAGAGTTCACTTTTAATCCCACAGCTTTACATAAACATGCCTGGCTACCTTAAGGGTTTCCTTCCTTCCACACCTCACACCGGTGGTGACTGACTGAGCTTTGCACACACCTTGTACCAATGTGTGAATTTTCTGGGAGAAACAAGATACAGCTTTTCCAAAGTTATCAGTTGGATCTTATTTTTTACTAAGGCCAAATATGCTTGCCAACTTTTTTTTAAAAAATGTGATGTTGGTGTTTTTCATGTCTGTTTATATACGTCTACGAGTTGAGCAATGCCTCTTTTTCAAAACTCAGTAAAAATTTGAAGTGCTACGCATTATCTTTCTACATAACCTCCTTTGTACTAGACATGTTTTTTAAGTAAATGAATAATAAATCTGTGCTCAGCAAAAAGAATAATTACTGGTTTTCTGGCTATTTTTTGGCTATTGATTTCCAGTACTCACCCATGGTCATTTTCATAGAACACAGCTGTTCAGTAGTTACTCTGGTGTTGGGATTCTGGAGAGCTAGATGGGCCCAGGCCATTTAGGCATCTTGCAATCCACAACATACCCCCAGATCCCAGTAAATATCGCTGAAGAGCACAGAGTCCTATACTGCTGGAGGCAAGATCTACTTTATAGTTTTGTTTGTTCCCCCAGGAAATGAATTGCTTAACAAATCTGTTGCAATATTAACCTTCACGAACAGAAAATTCATAGACATTATTTAGTAATAAGCATTACATATATAATATTGGTAATACAAATAATATAAGTGAATAGGAAACTATAAAATATAATCAAATTTTACTTAAAAATGAAAGAACACTAAGCATCAAATTAATCATCTACCAAAGGTTTTGGTTTCTTCAGTTTGAGTTGGAAGTCTTTTATAAAGAAATAAGGTAGAATGACAGATTTAGGTTAAACAATGGAAATCCTTAAAAACTTGTTTCCGGAACTCAGTTTTTATCCCACATTCAGAAAAAGACCAAAATGTGTCTGAGTGCAATGAGCAAAATGATGTGTAGAAAAGCAGGTGTCACCACCTCTCCAGGCTAGACAGAATCGGGCCACCAGAAGACCAGGCACTGAGCAGTTGGAGTGGCGAGGAGAGGTATAGGTGACATTCTAGCATCTGGGTGATACAAAAGCATCGGTAACAACCTGACTCATTCTGAAGAAAAAGTAACAGTGCTTTACACGTGGAATTTTGCCCAGCGATGGCAGTGACCTGACACTTTCACTCCCTGGATAAAATCAGGTAGCTTGTACCTTGTGTGACCTACAGGTGAACGTCACAGATGAGGTGATGAGAGCCCTGCCTCTTGTGAAGAACTCAGCCCCGCAGCACTATCTAACCAAAGCACAAGAGCTTCAGACCCCTCATCAGTACCAGCACTAGCAGTACTAGAGGCCCTGATAAGCAACAGAGCTAGCATCCATGCTGATGGAAAGTCCCCTGGCCTCCAGGAACCTCCACTTCCATTGTAGGAGCAGCCACTTGGTGAGCGCCACACACACCTAAGCTCTCATAAATTCGGAGTGTCCCCACTCTTCTGTGCCTTACAGAGACAGTGGGTCTCTCTGGCCCAGACATGTCACGTGCTATGCCCAAACAAAAGTCAAAGACATACCAGATCTCTCAGATGGGCAACCCTCTCACTTTCTACAAAAATCAACTCAAAATAGGTCTTAATGGAAGACCCGCAGCTTTATAATTATCAAAGAAAAACACAGAGGAAACATTTCAAGGTGCTGGTCTTGGGAAGACCACAAAAATACAAGCAGCAAAACCAAGAATTGACGAATTGCATTGCTTCAAAAGAAAGTAGTTAACAAAGTAAAGAGATGACCTACAGGAGAAAATGAGAAAATGTTTACAGTTATTCATCTTAGGAATGTATCCAGCATATGAGAAAAAAACTAAAACTGTAACAAATCCAGTTAAAGCTGGACAACTAATCTAAGTAGACACCTCTCAAAATAAGAAATACAAATGGCCTGAAATATATGAAAATGTGCTCATTATCATATCGTCTTTAGGGAAAGGCGAGGGAAGACCACAAGACACCATCTCAACCCACAGAGAAGGGCTAGTGTTGATAAGGGCAAAATTTAAGGAATTGTGGCAAGAATGTGAAGAAAACAACTCTTGCATGCTGCCTGTGGAAGGCTAACCTATGTAACCAATATGGAGACCACTATAGAGGTTCCTCAAGAACCTAAAAGTAGATCTACCATATGATCAAGCTAGCCTGGGTATCTATCCAGAAGGAATGAAACCAGCATGTAAAACAGATACCTGCAAGATATGAAATCAGGCGAGGTGCCTACCAACACATGAATAGACAGATGAAGAAAGTAGAGTCGGCAATCTCTAATGGAGTACTGCTCATCCACATGGAAGAAGGAATTCCTGTCATCCACAGGAAAATAAATGGAACTGGAAGTCGACACAGTAAAGGAGAAAACCCAAACCCAGACACAGAAAGGTTAAGTATGTTCTTTCTTGTGTGAAAACAAAAGGGGGGAAAAAGTCACCCGGAAGGTAAGACAGTGATTACCAGAGACGAGGGAGGAAGGATGAAAGCTGGAGATATGACCAACACACACCAGATGTATGTCGAAATACCACGCTGGACTACATGAGCACATGAAGTTATTGTGCTAATTTTTAAAATCATTAATTTATTTATTATTTGGTACAGGGTTTCACTACGCAATTGGCACTTGTAGTGATCCTCCTGTCTCAGCTCCCCAGTGCTGGGATTACAGGTGTGTGCCCCCACACTCTGTTTTGGTGGCAGGCATGGTGGCAAGGCACACTGTACTGGGGATTGAGCCCAGGTCCTTATACTTGCCAGGCAAGCATTAGACCACTAAGCTATATCCCCAGTCCTACTATGTTAATTTAAAAGTTGAAAACCAAGCCGGTGAGATAGCTCAGCAGGTGCAGGGACCCCAGCACCAAAGGCTGTGCTGGACCCTCACCCCAAACCCCATGCAATGAGCCATCAAGACCAGGTATGGCGGCACATGCCTGTAATCCCAGCACTGAGAAGGCTGAACCCAGGAGGATCACTATGAGTCTGAGCTGCATAGTGAGACCCTATACCAAATACATAAAAAAAGTTGAAAACCTTTTTTATGGCATATCATTTTCTCCTTGTTGATATTTATATTCTCTCTTAGATTTTCACTCATTATTTTCTGAACTGCGTGTCTTTAGAGGTAGACCAAAGTCCGTAAATAATCTTTTGAACGGGCAAACATTTCAATAAAATAATTGTTCCGATGCATAAGCATGATATCATTCCAGAGCATCTGTGCACCCTAACTACACTAGCTAACCAAGAGGTCCCCCCTTAAGAGCTTGAAAGATCTGGGGAGACTGGCCATCCAAATGTGCTACTCTGTTCAGCAAGCCAGGCCCAGCCCATACTGTAACACAGTAGCAGCGGACCTTTGGGGCACCAGGTGATGGGTTTAGGGAGACGATTGTTCCACAACAGCTGGAAAAGTTCCAGCACTCTGCATTTATCGTGCACGCTACAGATGGTTCTGGGGAAATTCAAGCACATTGCATTTCTTGTGCACAGTATTTCAGTTAGTGTTCTATTGTGCTCTTTGCCTCCTCTATGCCAATGGATTCTCTTAAGGAGCCCGCAGCCTCACCCTCACAGGCACCACTCACGGTGGGCTTCGTGCTCGTATCAGAGTCCAAAACAGCTGCTGACTTCACAAGAGGCAGGGCTCAGACGGTTATTCCAGCAACAGGGAGCAGCTGTAAGCACCGCACCTCCCTCACTTGCTTGTTCACCCACTGCTAACCTCCTGTGGCACGGCCTGATGGGAAACTCAGCTGAAACATTCACTAGAAAGCGCTACAGCCTCCAACACAAGGCACCGTGGAGCTGACCGGGTGGATATGGTTTGTGCTTCATCTAGTGTCCCTGTCCCTCCTGCTCTAGCTGGGCCAGATCCCCACAGCTTTTCAAATATCTCAGCAGTGTTTCTTGGCCTCGACACTTGGCTCGCTAGGTCAACCCTCCCCCTTCTCTGTGTCCATCCCTCCGTCAATGCTCATTTCCTATGCTTTCGCCTCTAGATATTCCCTCTTGCTAAATACCACTCTGAACACTCACAAGTGGTGTTTTAGCATCGCCTTTGGCTTTCTAATCAACAGTGTCTAGTGTAATTTTCTGTCATGTGTCTATCCTGTGTCTAGCATGGTACAAAGTTAGGAACCATTGCCAAGTCTGTCCTTCTGGCATTTCTTCTGTTTTACCAAACAACAGCTGCTCAGGATTTGGGGTGCCATTCACTTGTCACATATCCCAGGCCGCAGTGCTGGCTCTCAGCAAACAGTGCTTCTAGGTCCACGGGTCACTGATACACCAGGGTCCTACTTGTCCTTCATCATCTATTGCATGTTTTTAACTCGTTAATATCTACTGGTTACTTTTTTCCTCCTAGCTCTGCCACTTAATAGGCTTGTACTTTCAGTCAAGTTACTTAGGGTTGGAGCTACTCCATACCAGTGGGGAAAATGATAGCCTTATTAGTAAGTTGAGAATTAAATGGGTTCACACATACACAGAAGTGAGATAAAGATTAACAAAAGAGCATATAATAGCTATTACTTTTATTTATAGATTAGTAAATGATGTCTAGTACAATTCCAGTAATTTGCCATAAAATAGCACAGCTGCTAAGCAGTAAATTTTGGTTTCAAGCCCGTGATGGTCTGACCTCAAGGTTCAGCTTCCCTCTGCTGTTTTCCATCTCCACATTAGTTACTAATGAAAATCACTGACTCCTTAGTGTGGTCCCAGAGATCTGCTTCCCACAGAGATCTAGGCAGTAACACCAATTTTTTCTGTCATCAAATGTGCAGTGACTTCATTTGGTTCTACTTTACGTGTCAACCTAGTCTTTGAATCGCTCATCGCCTGTGGTGAGGAATTACGGTGGAGATTTTAATCCACCCTTCAGCCTGGGACAATTTCTCGAGCTCTAGCCAGCGTTTCTGGTTTTCCCACCGCATTCTGCCTCACATTTATTTTTGTCACTTTCCACCAGGCTGCCCGCCATACCCTTGATCAGGAAGGTGACCTTGTTGAAAGGAATCTTTGATATCCGTTCGCAGTTTCTCAGCAACCCTTAGAGCCTGGTGTTTTTATAATACTGGATATTTAATTCCCAGTGTGTTTGAATAAGAAATTTAATAAAAGAAGACATTTATTCAATTTCACCTCCCTAGTGGTGATGGGAATAGATTAAATGGGATGCAACTGCTCAACGTATCTTAGAATATTTGTGAAACACTCCA